TAGGTCTGGGTCTAGGTCTAGGTCTGGGTCTAGGTCTAGGTCTGGGTGTGTGGGTGTGGGGTGTGCGTAAAGAGAACATTCTAACACCCACACCCCACACCCATCCCTTTTAGCCTCTCAAAATAAATCATGTATTGTTCTCACTTAGAGTGCTGGTATTAGCATGTGATATGCATGCAGATTATCTTTCACTTGTTAAGATTGCCATTCACAAACTATTTGTATTTGTTCTTTTCAAGTATTAAAATAAACATTCGACACGTCTGTTTTCAAGATTTGAATGTAATTGTGGTTGACTTGGAGTGTAGACTAGCACAATCATCACACCCACACACACCTAGACCAATGCACACATTCTCATCCGCCCACCCACCGCTTTTATCTTTTTCATTACAAAACATTACGTATCCGCTTTTTCTTATATGCACATTCATATATGAATGCCATTTCATGTGAACTATTCTTAATTTTATTCTCGAATTTCGAATAATGTTTTCACGTTAAATGAGAATACTTCCTATTCCCAAAAGTTACACATTCCTGCATCGCCTTCTGATCCGGAATCCCTTACCATCAATTCCGGAAAACCTAAAACGACCCTTTCCCTCAAATACATGCCACAACCAGGAATTCCTGATTCGTAGTTCCTTTCAAATCTAACTCTCAACATCCAATTCCTGGTCATTCCGGGTAATCCCAGAATTCGAAGGATATACTGAATAACGAAATGATCATCTTAAAAGATCTATTCAATATCAAAGCGGAATTCCGGAATTTGTGCACATCCGGAATCACTAGGAAATGCAGGAATTCCTGGTCATTCCTGCCTATTCTCGAATTACAGATATATTATGGATGGCTAAGTGATCATTTACAGAGCTTGAATGAATGGATAGTGGAATTCCGAAATTAGAAAACATTAGCGATCACCAGGAAATGCAGGAATTCCTGGTTATTCCATATCGATGCAATTCCGGAATTCTAAAACGGAATTGAATCCTTATTTCTATAGCAATGTTCAGTTGAACATGAATACATGAACCTATGCAGGAATATGCAGGAATTGCTGGTCATTCCATGTCGATGCAATTCTGGAGTTCTAAAACGGAATTGAATCTTTATTTCTACAGCAATGTTCAGGTTGAACATGAATACACCAACCTATGCAGGAATAGACAGGAATTGGCAGGAATTCCTGGTCATTCCATATCCATGCAATTCCGGAATTCTAAAACGGAATTGCATATTTATTTCTATAGCAATGTTCAGTTGAACATGAATACATTAGCCTATGCAGGAATTGGCAGGAATTTCGTAAAATTTGATGGCATGGATAGGAATTGGATGTCATGAATTCCGGAATCGAATGATGATGAGTTTGATGGCCTTATGCGATGCAGAAATGTGTAACTTTGCGGAATAGGATGACTGCTCCGTTAAATAAGATTATGTTGGATTGAAGTAATAGTCATTGCTTTCTGTCAACCTGTATGCTATAGCCAAGCGATTGAGAAAGCGAGATTTGTGTGTTAAAAATGATAGTTTTGTGGAACTGACATATATTTTCGAAGAAAATAGTGAGTGTAAGTTTTGAGTTGAAGGTTTTCCGACTCGGGTATGGGTTTCATTGAAAAAAGTCAACACAACCAGACTCTCTCAGACGCAGACCAACACCCTTCTTAAGTATCAAAAAGATGTGAGTCTCACATTCAAACCTCAGTCTTTTCCAGCAACAGATATCAATACATTTGTTTCTCTTCTAATAAAAACAGTGAGAAAGAACTATCGCCCAATCTCTATGATATAATGTAAAAGTTACCAACTTAGTTTACATAGGAAAAAGTGAGTTTTACTAATTTCAAAGGAAGTACAAAGCCATCATCTGCACAATAAGAACGAAATTTGTGAGTAGGAAGAAACTCTGTCATTGTTTATTAAGAATGAGTCATGCACTAGACTGTAAAATAAGCGTTTTTATCCTGAGGCTTCTATCATTTTCTCTTTCTCTTCTTCCGAGGAAGTAACGTATGAAATTCTATATAATCGAAAGAATATATTTGAGCAGTTGTGTAGATAATTTCATTCAACAATACTTATCGATAACTTTGTTGAAAGTAAAACTATGGCCGTGTTTGGAACTGATGAGTATGATTTCAAAATGTTTGGCACTACGGTAACTGTACCAAATGCTGATATTGCCAAAATAATGTATTACTTGGATTGTGTATGTACTGTTATCGATTACAATGATAATGACATTAGTCGCTATCGAAACTATTCAAATTGGGCCAATATGTCGGAATATGAAGATCGTCTCATATTTTTACTGGCTTTAACACTTTCGCCGACTGAACTAGAAAATAAAGTCTTTTTTGAAGCTCCAGAATTATGCCCTACAACGAACAATCAATTTTATGAAATTGGTCAGATTCGGAATCGGTTAGTGGTTGTTCAATCAATTTTCATTGGTGGTCGATCGCGTCAAGTGAAAAAGATTATGGCATATGAACCAATTTGGATGCAGAGAAATTATTATGAACCAATTGCAAGACTAAAAAGACGGTTTAGTCCAGACGACGATGACGATGATAGCGACGACGATAATGATGACAGCGATGACGAGGATGATAATAGTAATAATTATTATAGTGCATCGTCATCGAGCACTTGTGTTATTTCTTGAAAATAAACCTGTATACGTTCGTTTACTTCGTGTATTAGTACTAATGATGCTCAGGGTATGGGTTTTATAGTTCCTAAAGCTTGACATCTCTGCAAATATAGTTTTTAAATACCTACTACTGAGCATATCCTAAGATTTTTCACTAGATTTTTGAATCTGCACAATATAAATATGGGTGTGCGTATGAGTGCGAGTTTCGGTTTGGGTGTAGATGAGGAGCGGCGTTTTAGAATTCTACAGCGACGTCCACGTCCACATTCATACATACACATTTTGAGGGTGTGACTCTTCTTCAGCACAACACCAACACCCGCAAGCACACCCACACCGACACCCCATACCCACACCCACACTCATGCATGCCTGTGTCACAATTGGTCATGTCCGTATTAGAAATGGGCATTATTTTGACATAAATCACCATGTTAGTCGTTATAATTAACTAAAGCATAAACTTTATCATATACATTAGCATCTTTCAATGTTTTTTGTGAACTATTTGAATATATCTATAGTACATAATATAGAAAATGTTACAAATATTAATTATTACTTCTAAACTCATCATTATACAGAATTCATTTTTATTTCAAAATATAAAGACATCTTTGTCATCATTCCGTCAGTCTAGGGACAAGTGAATCGACATTCAATGTCGATGAACGTTACCTGTTTTTACTAGGAAATAAATTTTTCCGTTCAAAATCTGATTAGTAAATTATCTTGTTTATCACTATTCACCCTTAAATTCTCAGTTGAATCTGACTTGACTTTCAGACGGAAGAAAACAGAAGTTCTTCTAATGGTTCTTCTATTTCAAACAAATAACACGCTACGCCCTGTCGTCGAAGAAAAAAAATATTCCTTACGTTGCATAGAACAGAATCCTCTTGTTGTATCCTAATAAGTTTTTTAATTTTGTATTTGGATGTGGGAGCTTTGTTTCATGCACTTTTTTCAAAACTATCATCATTACACATTGACCAGTGCCCTTCCTCGAGCATTTATTTCATTTGGCTTGTTTTCGTTGTATGCTTTTTCAGTTTATTTGTGAAAGGACAAATACTATAACTGTTTTTTCATTTTAATTTTCATTTCTTCTACAGGAAATCAAAGGAAACCGTAGAAATCTTCCTTGAGCTTGACCTTGAAAAGAATAATAGTGATTATCCAGAAAAGGAAATAAGAAATGTTCTCTATCTCAGGCGCAAAGTCAGATTCAACCAAGATTTTAAGAGTGTGGGTGTAGATTATCGAAGAAGAATAACCCATACCCACACCAGACACTGACACACATCCACACCCATACTAGCCACTGACACACACCTCACACCCACACTCACACCCACACCCATCCACACCCACACCCCACACCGACTATGGGCACAATATTTACCATTAAGTGCATTCTTGGGAGCCATTGTAAAAATGGTAGTACCCTCGTTTTGATCACGGCACAATTGCACTCCTATCGAGTGATTGGAAAGAATCCATAATTGCTTTCTTCGGAATCATCAAAACACTTATCAGCACATTAGTAAATTGTTTCTCAATGCTGCTAAAGAGTGAGATCGCACCTACAAGCGGAGACGGGATTTGTCTTGCACGTTGAAATACATGAAATTGGCCTAACTTCTATGGACACAGACCACTTCCTGTCCTACTTGCATTACCAGGGAGTACATGCAGAATACCAACGGCAGTTTGTCTTTCTCATCCATCTCTCCTTTTCCAATCTTTAAATCGAGAAGTATTCACTTAAGCGGAAAGAAAATTGGAGCTTGGCAGCATAAGCCGTTGCTCAGTGATGTCTGGCATATTGAGGAAACAGAAAATTAACTTTTCAATTGTGACTCCGATTAAAGTTGACTTTGTTTGTGTTGCTTTTCGCTTGGATGATCATGTATCTTTAGAAGAAAGAAAACAATCAAAGTACACATGACCGAGTTGTTTTTTCGTTCTTACTTGGTAAAAAAATAATTGTTTTCAAATCGCTGAAAAGTGGCAATGCGATGAATTACTACACTGAATCCGTTTATTGATTTTTTACAACCTAATTTTCGATTGTGACTACTTGAAATTTGCTATCAAATATCAACAAATAAAAGCATATTTGACGTCGTAAAATTCAAGAAAAAACGACGTATCAACAAAAACAACCTTTCTGCTTGAATTTAAAATAACTTCTCTGCATTCTTGGTTTGTTATAAAGAGACATAAAACTTCAAAATGACCAAGACAAAATCAAACGAAACACTTTATACATCCACCACATATACCAGAAGAAACGCGACACCATTATCAAGCATCATGGAGCCAACACAACGCATAACTGAAAGCTATCTAATTATTTGGATCGACGAGAACATCGACCCAAACAATGACACATGTAAAAATACGCTTACACACCTGCAAAACGTGACCACTGGAGTATATATTTTCACCCGATCCGATGAAGGTATAGATTTTCTCACTGATCTCAATGATCACAAAGCTTTCCTCATTCTGTCAAATCCTAAAGATCAACACATTATACCTATCGTGCTTGACATTCCTAGTCTTCACAGCGTATATATATTCTGCAACACAGAATCGCTAATCCACGATTGGAAAAAGAATTCCAGCAAAATTAAAGGTATGCACACAGATATTGAGCGTCTCTGTGAAGCACTACTAGATGCCATCAAACGATGTTACAAAAACGATATCGCAATGAGCTTTCCCAGTATCGGCGAAGATAATTTGAAAATCGATCTAGATCAAATAGAACCCTCATTTATGTACACACAGCTATTTAAAGAAATTGCACTTGAAATCAAGCACACACAAGAAGAAATCACAGAATTTATTCAATTTTGGCGGGAAAAATGTAAGAACCATACGGCAACATTGAATGATATCGAAGAGTTCGAGAAGAATTAGTCCTGAGACGTCAATTTTCTGGTATATTAAAGCACCTTTCATTTACCAGACGGTTAATCGGTCACTAAGAACATTGGATACTCTATCAATGAAGAAAATGAGTTTTTTTATTCGAGATCTTCACTGCCAACTTCAACAATTCAACAATAAACAGTTTAAAACAACAGTAAGTGACGTCTTGGTTTTATACCGCGGACAAGGATTATCCAAAGCTGTCCTTGAGAAACTTCAAAAAACCAAGGGTGGTCTTTTCTCATTTAATAGCTTTTTATCCACCAGTCGCGATCGAGATGCTTCCCTCGCCTTTGCCGAGAGCATCGCTTTAGACGGTAACTTAGTTGGCATACTCTTCACAATGACTGTTACACCTTCAATATCAAGAACTCCCTTCGCCGACGTCCAAAAAATGGGTCTCTTTCCAGACGAAGAAGAAATACTATTTTCCATGCACACGATTTTTCGTGTCAACGGAATCCAACAGATGCAAAACAATCCCAATCTATACGAAGTACAACTCACTCTCACAAACGACGATGATCCACAACTATCTATTCTAATACATTCTATACAGAACGAACTCAGCGGAGATGGCTGGAAACGCATGGTTCCTTTGATGTTCAAGCTTTATCAATACAGCACAGCCAAGGAAATCTGTGATCACCTACTCGCAACATCTTCCACGGATATAGAGCGGGCTAATCTTCTCAACAGTCGCGGAGTTATCGAAACCCAGCAAGGCAACCACTCAAAAGCGCTTTCATTTTACAGAGCATCACTTGAAATCATCAAAAAGGCTCTTCCTCCGAATCGTCCCGACTTGGCTTATTCCGAAAACAATGTCGCTTCAGTGTATTATAACATTGGCGACTACCCACAAGCAGTTTCATCGTTAGAAAGATCACTTGAAATCCTCAAAAGAGCTCTTCCACCGAATCATCCCGACTTGGCTACTTCCTACAACAACATTGCTATGGTCTATGATCACATAGGCGAGTACTCGAAAGCACTTTCATTGTACGAAAGATCAATTGAAATCCGTAAAATAGCTCTCCCTTCGAATC